AGGGAGGGATGGAGGGATGGAGAGAGAGGGAGGGAGGGAAGGATGGAGGGAGGGATGGAGGGATGGAGGGAGGGAAGGATGGAGAGAGGGAAGGATGGAGAGAGTGGAGGGAGGATGGAATGAAGGGGTGGAGGGAGGGAGGGAGGGAGGGAAGGAGGGAGGGAGGGAGGGGTGGTTCAGGGGTCCCATGAAGAGACTATCAGGAAAGATCCCAGCCCACATGTCGTTTTTCTCCTGTCGGTTAAAGGCCTGGCGTGCCTTTAGCCCAACTACACTCCTGAAACCAGAAAGATAGATTACAAAATTTAGGTACAGATAATCCTGAAGTTACATCCACAATTAAGCCCAATATTTATGTTCCTAAGTCAAACATTTCCTAAGTGGGTGTGCCGCAATTTACGACTTTTCTTGCCACCGTTGTTAAGTGAATCACTGCAGTGGATAAGTTAGTAATCCTGCTCGTTCAGCGAATCTGGCTCCTCCATTGCTTGTCAGAAGGTAGCTAAAGGGGATTATGTGTCCTCCAGGACGCTGTGACGGTCATAAATACAAACCTATTGCCAAGCCTCTGAATTTTGGTCACGCAACCACAGGGACGTTACAGTGGTCGTAAGTGTGATAATACCATTGCAATTTTGAATGGTCACTAAATGAACTGTTATGTCGAGGGTCTGCTTGTGCAGGTAGTCCTCAACTTAACAACCACAACTGAGTTCAGAATTTCCAATGCTAAATAAGTCGGTTGATAAGTGAATTTTGTCCCGTTGAACTTGCTTCCCAGGACGTTAAGTGAATCCCCACAGCTGTTAAGTAAAGCCACACAGTCATTAAGTGAATCTGGATTCTCCCGCTGTTTGTCAGAAGGTCGCAAAAGGGAATGGCAGGACCCCGGGAGACTGCAACCGCCATGAATACGAGTCGGTTGCCAAGCCTCTGAATTTTGATCATGTAACCCAAAAAGGCGAGGCTGCGATTGTCCTGAGTGTGAAAAAAAGGGGTTTTTTCAGTGCCCTTGTATCTTTGCAGTTTGTGTAAATCAAAGACTGCCATCTCTCTCTCTCTCTCTCTCTCTCTCTCTCTCCCTCCCTCTCGTAGGACGTCCTTTGCACCCCCGAGAGGCGGCTGCTGGAGGACAGCGAAAACCTCCCCATCTTCGCCAGCTCCATCCGCACGGATCGCATCCTCCTCTTTAACGACGCCCTGGTCCTCGTGCAGGTGTGACAGCGAGATAGATGTTGAGTGCTGTGGGCTTGTGACGTGCAGCGTTGCCTTCCCTGTGACCGCAGACGCCGGCATTCCGGGGATTTACTTACTGAGATTTTATCCCGCTTTTGTTATTCTTTATCGATAACTCAAGGCAGGGAACTTACCTTCCTCCTCCTATTTTCGCCCCAACAACCTTGTGAGGTGGGCTAAGTTGAGAGAGAGAGGGGGGGGGGGGGGGGGGGACTAGCTTTCGTGTCTAAGACAGAACTAGAACTCACCATCTCCTGGCAATTGGGCCAAAGTCACCCCGGCGTTTTTAGCACTAGCAATAGCACTTAGACTTATACACCGCTTCACAGTGCTTTACAGCCCTCTCTTTACAGCGGTTTTACAGTGTCAGCCTATTTGCCCCCAATAATCTGGGTCCTCATCTGACCCACCTGGGAAGGACAGAAGGCTGAGTCAAGCTGGTGAGAACCAGCAATATTGCATTCTAACAGGAAGGGAAGGAAGGAAGGAAGGAAGGAAGGAAGGAAGGAAGGAAGGAAGGAAGGAAGGAAGGAAAATAGCAATAGTACATCGACTTATATATCGCTTTATAGTGCTTTTACAGCCCTCTCTAAGTGGTTGACAGTCAGCCTCTTGCCCCCAACAATCTGGGTCCTCATTTGACCCACCTCGGAAGGACAGAAGGCTGAGTCAACCTTGAGCCCAGTGGGATTCGAACTACCAAACTGTAGGCAGCCAGCAGTCAGCAAAAGTAGCTTGCAGTACTGCCCTCTAACCACTGCGCCACCAGGGCTCGTGCCTAGAACTCCCCGTCTCCTGGCAATTGGCTCAGCTGTCTTTCGTGTCTAAAGTGGAACTAGAACTCACCACCTCCCCACTTCCTAGTCTGGGACTCGTTTTAATTCCGTGCTACCTACTTTCGAGATCAGAAGAGGGGTTTACGCCCTGAGGCCATCCAGCCTGTCCTCCTGAGCCTTAAGAATCCCAGCGGTCAGGAGATGATTCTGTGCCTTGTGTGCTGGCAAAGAGCAGCAGAGATACAGATAACGTCCGTGTGTTTTGTTTTTGTTTTTAATTCATGGTTTTGAGGCTGTCTTTCTCTTTTTCCTTTGTTTTTAAATTCTCTCGAATTTCCCAGGGGAACAACCTCCACACTTTTGATCTTAAGCTTCTGTGGCTTGAGGCAGCTCCCAGCGGAAACGGAAAGTGAGTCAAACTAATTCAGTGGCTTATATAGAGCAGAGAGGAAGCATTTATCTCGTTCCTCATTTGTTGCCTGGGAAAAATTTAGTATCTTTCAAATTCAGCCCTTGACTTACTTATTATTTGTTTGGTGACCATACAACAGCCTGAAAAAGGAAATTTAGGACCAGTCCTCGCACACACAACTTAAAATCACAATTGAGCCTAACATTTCTGTTGCCAAATGAAACAATTAAGTGAGTTTAGCCCCATTTTACAACTTTTCTTGGAATCCCTGCAGCCGTTAAGTGAGTCACAAAGTCGTTAACCGAATCTGGCTTTCCCCTTTGACTCTGCTTGTCGGAAGGTCACAAAAGGGGATCAAGGGAGCCCGGGATATTGCAACCGACATAAATCTGAGTCGGTTGTCAAGCATCCGAATTTTGATCTTGTGACCCTGTGGATGCTTCAATGGTCGTAAGTGTGAAAATCGTTCCAAGGTCACTTGTTTCAGTGCCATTGTAATTTTGAATGCTCACTAAGCAAATGATTATAAGTCGAGGACTTTGTGTACTTGGGAGGAAAAAGGCAGGTGGATGAATTGATAAGAATTCAATGATAAGAAAACTTTCCTAGATCCAGATGTTTCCTTCCGGTGACACAGTTAGAAAAAAGTGAAATTATTTTTAATGTAGAAGGTCAATAATTTGTATTTATTTTATTTTTTGGCAGTCATGCTTTATATGTTGTGACTCCAGAAGATAGTTTCTTCCTGTTGGCCAAAGGACTAGAAGCCCGGGTAAGTGGTATACGGTCTTGGGTGGTGGACATGAAATACAGGTAGTCCTCGGGTTACGACCGTTCATTTACTGACCATTCAACGTTACAATGTCACTGAAAAAAGTGACTTTTTCACAGTTATGACCGTTGCAGCATCCCTGTGTTCACGTGATCAAAATTCAAATGTTGGCAACTGACACATATTTATGATGGTCGCAGTGTTCCTGGGGTCATGTGATCCCTTTTGCGACCTTCTGACCATTTTTCACACTTACGACTCATATTTATGGCGGTCGCAGTGTCCCTGGGGTCACGTGATCCCCTTTGGCGACTGTCTGTCGAGCAAAGTTAATGGGGAAGCCGGATTTGCTCAACAACCGAGTTACTAACTCAACAATTGTGGCAACATAGGTCGTAAAATGGGGCAAAATTCACTTAACAGCTGTCTCACTTAGCAACAGAAATTTGTATGATGACCCCCTGTATGAGGGAACAACTACACATGTCCTCTTTTCATATGTTTTGCAAAGTGTCAGGGTAGGATCCAGTAAATAAAAGGGATTTGACTCCATCAAAAAGGGGATCACATGTGACCCCGGGACAGGGCAACCGTCATAACTATGAGTCAGTTGCCAAGCCACTGAATTTCACATGGGGTGGGGGGCTGTAATGGTCATTAAGTGTGAAAAACTTAACAGTAAGAAGTCACGGTGCCTTTGTAACTTTGAATGGTCTCTAAACAAATGGTCGTAAGTTGAGGACTGCCTGACAAGAGTAAATTACCCACTCTTGGGGGAATTAGCTGCAATTTTACATCTCTAGGGAAACCGTGAAGATGTGTGGATTGTCTTTCTTTCTCTTACTCTTTCTCTTTCTCTCACTCTCTCTGTGTCTTTCTGTGTCTTTCTCTTTTTTATTTTCTCTCTTTCCTTCTTTGATGTTTTTTTCTTTCTCTCACTTTCTTTCTTTCTCTCACATTCTTTCTTTCACTCTCTTTTTCTCTCTTTTTCTTTCTTTCTCTCTTATTCTTTCTGTCTTTCTTTTCTCTTTTACTTTCTCTCTCTTTCTCTCTTTCCTTCCTTCTCTGATGCTTTTTTCTTTTTCTCACTTTCTTTCTCTTTCTCCTCTCATTCACCCTTTCTTTCACTATCTCTTTCTTTCTCTTTTACTTTCTCTCTCTTTCTCTCTCACACTTTTTCTCTCTTTCTATGTCTTTCTTTCTTCTCTCTTACTTTCTCTCTTTCCTTCTTTCTCTGATGCTTTTTTCTTTTTCTCGCTTTCTTTCTCTCTTTCTTTCTTTCTTTCTCTGATGCTTTTTTTCTTTCTCTCACTTTCTCTTTCTCCTCTTTCACTCACTCTTTCTTTCACTCTCTCTCTCTCTCTCTTTCTTTCTTTCTCACTTTCTCTCTTGCACTCTTTCTCTATGTCTTTCTTTCTCTTCTCTCTTACTTTCTCTCTCTCTTTTCTTCTTTCTCTGATACTTTTTTCTTTCTTTCTCTTTCTTTCTCCTCTTTTCTCTCTCACTCTTTCTTTCTCTCTCTCTCTTTCTTTCTCTGCCTCTTTCTCTTTCTCTCTCTTTGTTTTTCTTTCTTCTTTCTTTCTTTTCTCTTCTCCCTCTTCCTCTCTGTCCCTTTCTCCCTCCCGCTTCTTTCTTTCTTTCTTTCTTTCTTTCTTTCTTTCTTTCTTTCTTTCTTTCTTTCTTTCTTTCTTTCTTTCTTTCTTTCTTTCTTTCTTTCTTTCTTTCTTTCTTTCTTTCCCCACCCATCTCCTATCCCCCTCTCCAGGCGGTGTGGCAATGGAAGATCCAGCGGGCGGTGGGCCACGCCTTGATGGACAAGAGAGACCTCCCCATGTGGGGTGACGGGGGCAAAGGCTTTGCCCCCCCGCCCTGCCGCGTCGCTACCTTCGCATTCAGGGCCGAAGGGCGGCTCAAGAGCGCCACCTACGAGGGGGAGTGGTGCCTGGGGAAACCCCACGGAAAGTAAGTCCCTTCCTGGGGCCGGGAGGCCAGGTCTTAAAGTGGCCCAGATTCAATTTAATTGCTTTTTATTGGTCTCTTCTCTTCGCAGAGGGAAGCTGGTGTGGCCCAATGGGCAGAACTTTGCAGGAGATTTCAAGGAAGGCCTGGAAAATGGGTGAGGGGCTTTACCTGGTGAATTGCAGGCTGGCAGGAGGGCTGTCTTGAGTGGCAGGCTGCTTGGTGCCTCTCACGCTTATTGCACAATGCCCAGATTTGTCTGTTGAAGTAGATCCACGCCTGAAGTCCGCTTGACCTTGTGATTGTTTGGCAACTAAGCAAGGTTGGACCAAATTGGATAGGAGACCACCAGGAAACCCCGGATTAAAGAAAGAATTCTGTAGGAGGTTAAAAAAAAAAAGATAAATCCCTTTACTGCCTCTGGACAGTGCCAGGAAAAACTGCACTGATGTTTGTATCAGAATTGATTTAGTCTGCAAATCTGTTGTTGTTTTTTGCAAATCTTGCACGCCTACATACTTACGACCATCTGTTTAATGAGCACTCAAAGTTACGACAGTGCTGAAGAAAGTGACTGCCAACCAGCCCTCTCATTTGTGATCGTTGCAACATTTCCCGATGGTAACAGGATCAGAATTCTGACCCTTGGCAGTTGATTCACATTTACGACGGTTGCTGTGTGCTAAGGTCACGTGATTTCCCCTTTCGCAACCTTCTGAAAACTGAAGTCAGTGGGGAAGCCAGATGCTACTGACTTAAAACTACAGTGATTCATTTCACAACTGTGGCAAGAAAAGTCGTAAAATGGGGCAAAACTCACTTAACAACTGTCTGTCTTGGCAAGGGAAATTTTGGGCTCAGTTGTGGTCGTAAGTCAAAGTCTGCCTCTCCTGGATGAGATGGAGCATTGAAGATGTTTTAATTGGGTGCTTCTACGAAGCGGGTTGGACTGGATGATCTTAAGGGTCAATATCAGAATAGCGAGATTTGCTGACTAGAATTAAATCAACCTCACCGTTTCTGTCTAACGTCTTTTCTTCCGGATTTCAGGTTCGGGATCTCTTTGATCCCTCAAGGATCCAATGACCACTACAACTGCTACAAATGCCACTGGCGGAAGGGTCAGATGGACGGCTACGGTATCTGTGAGTAAGTTCGAAAGATAACCTGGGATTTGTTTGGGATGAGCCACTGGTAGAAAGAATCCTGGATATTCTACACCTCCCAGTTATAGAATACAGGGAGTCCTCGGTTTACAACACTTTGTTTAGTGACCGTTCGAAGTTACAACGGCACTGAAAAAGGGACTTAGGACCAGTTTTCCACATTTATGACCATTGCAGAATATAATTAAATCAAGATTTTCTACCTCTCTTCATAAACTGGGTAGCACTTTCATTGAATGAGGGGGATAAGGGAAGATACCTTGACTTACAACCATTTGTTGAGCAGCTGTTCAGTTAAAACAGCGCTTTAAAAAATGACTCAAGAACCAGTCCTCGCACTTATGACCATCATAGCATCCTCACTTGGATATTCAGCACCCGGTTTGTATTTATGACGGTTGCAGCATCCCAGGGTCATGTGATCACCATTTGCAACCTTCCCAGGTTGGCGTCTGACAAACAAAGTCAATGGATTCACTTAATGACCACATGACTCACTTAACAACTGCAGTGATTTGCTTAAGAATTGGGGCAAAAATGGTGCAAAATTGGGTGCGACTCACTTAGCAGCCACTTTGCAACACGTTCTGGTGCCAGTTGTCATCATAAGTCGAGGACTATCTGTATAGATAAAAATCTAAAATCCCCATTGAAGAGGTCTTTGTTAAAGTTGGCTTATTTTTCAGGTACGGCAATGAGATGGTCTACAAAGGTTATTTTAAGGACAACATGCGCGAAGGTTTTGGCATCCTGGATAGCCCTCCGAGTACCGGTCATCCCTTTAGATACACAGGACACTGGACGAAGGACAAGAGAGCGGGTTATGGTGTCTTGGATGACAAGGAGAGGTAAGACCCTTGCGTTTCGTGAGTAAGTAAAAGGTAAGGTCCTTGGTGCTCTGTGAGCTTGGTTGTTTCCATATAGATGTTTCATGACTCAACTAGGTAACATCATCAGTGATAGAAGGAGGTGGGGTTTGTGGAGAGGAGGAGGGGGGAGGAGGAGGAGGAGGAGCACTGTGAGGCTCTTGGTGTTCTCTGAGCCTGGTTGTTGCAGCGCGGACCAGCCATCAACAGACACATAGAGATCAACCACATTTACACACCATTCAAAATGTTTTGGATTGTCACTCCCATAAACGATTACTTTTCTTTGGCCATGTTGGTTTGAGATGAAGGAATTTGTTAATGAAACTGTCTGGAGGAATCGGGTTGATCTAGCAGAGGTAAACTGATGTTCACTGACATTCCATGACCCCACTAGATAACATCATCAGTGCTTGTAAGGGTGTGGGGTTTTGGTGCCTGGATATAGACTAACGGATCACCCTGTCAGTGTTGGTAGTCAACAACAGCCTAAGCAAGGAATTACCAAGGACACTCAAGGCTGAATGCAATGTTAATTTAACTTTTGCTTTCGCTTTCATTTCACTTTCACTTTCACTTTCTTATTTGTGGTTTGCTGGATTTCAGGGGTGAGAGATACATCGGGATGTGGGAAAACGATCAGAGGCACGGACCAGGGATTGTGGTGTTGCAGTCAGGAGTCTGCTTCCAAAGGACCTTCCACCTGGATAAAATGGTGGTAAGGGAGTCTTTGAACCTGCTATGGGATCTTTAAAAAAGAAAGAAAGAAAGAAAGAACTATAAAAACTAATATTTATTTATTGGTTTGATTTTCAATCCCACCTTCAACCAACAACGCCTTTCTCTTTTTCTCTCCTCACCTGGAAGGGATCCGGAGTTCTCCTTCTGGAGGATGATTTGGTCTATGAGGGAAATTTCACAAACGACTTCAAGTTTGTTGGCAAGGCAAGTATTAATATGGGGAACCCGTAGAATCGAGGTCTGGAGTCTGGAAGATTCAGGCTGTGGCTTAAAATGCTTCTCAGAAAACATCAGGGTTGATAAATCCCTGGACAAGAGTCTGCCAAGAAATCCCAGGTCTGTAGATTAATACTGTATAGTTTATTTATAGATAGAGAGATAGGTGATAGATATTTAGATAGATAGATAGATAGATAGATAGATAGATAGATAGATAGATAGATA